CTTGTGAAATCTCCTTTGAAACTTTATATTATATACTATTATTCGCAAAATACGATTTCGAAAAAAATAATCTTTTATTGATCCCGTTCTTTTATTAAGATTTATTCCGAATTACACATATTTACATTATTCTATTCGGACCATTATATTTATAGACATTCAAACGTTTCCAAGGATTTCTGTATATTTTAACGCGCCTTTACTGATAAAATATTTGCATATACTTTATCTATTCTAAATAGAGATATTTAAAATCGAGCGACGTATATGATATTTTTAACAACGTGAATATCGAAATCGCGTAAAAATTTGGTTTGCATTTTCGAAGAATTTTGAGATTCTTCTATGCAATTTTTTTCTTTGCAAGTCTCGCGAATCGTCGACGTATAGTGGTATGTCTCACCGTTCGCACGTATGCCGTCGTATACCGCGGAATCTCTAACTTTAATTCGCAGTTAATAAAGCGCGCCGCGCACGCGAGCGCTAACTCCTGCTGATTAACATTCCTGGCATAGCGCGGTGCAACGTAACTAATCACCGATACGTGCAACAGATGCAACTTTTGCGCTGCACGACGCACGTTTCCGATGCACGTATGTATGTACGTGCGCGTGTCCAGACGATCGCACCATATTTGTACCGGTAACAGGGACACCGTGCGTCAACGTGTGCGTGAATGCGTGAATTTTGCACGCACACGTGTATGTAGGTACTTTGTCACGGATGTGCAATCCATCCGATGCATATAATTAGAAATTTGCATTTTTAATTGGAAACGCTAGTTACGGCCATCCGCACACGATATTCAATTATACAAATATTCGGTAAATAGCGCGAGTTTGACGATAAAAATAATAATAAAAGAATAATATAGAAAAATATTGAGAGATTGCTAGTTTTCTTGATTGAAATGAGAATAATTGTTTCTTACACTATCTCGATATGATAAAGTATAGAAAACGATCGCAAGTGTCATGTGAATATCGTTCCACATTTCCATCTGTGTTTGGCAAATATTTGACTACAAACATGTAATGAAGTCATAATTATATCATCATAAACAGCCAATAAGCGATATATAAATTGAATTCGCTTACTATTTTTTTTTTTTGCTTAATATTTTAATTTTTCTAAATGATTGAATTATTTGAGAAAATTACGGGGTAAATTGAAAAATAAATACATGGAAAATCGAGATACTGGACAACGCGTTCTCCACTCGCTGGTGCATCAAGTTAAAAGTGTTGCCGGTCGAAAACAATCCTCTTACAAGATATAATATACCTGGTTATACACGACACGCGTATACAAGGTCCACGGAATTCACCGGGGGAGAGGTTGTCCCGTCGTACAACCACTTCGCGCGAGCGTTAAGCCCCGGTAGACGATTAATTTTAATCATCAAAAGATACATAACTCAACTCGCAGTTACGGCGAACTTTCGCGCGGTAGATGTTCATCGCGCGGGTTTTCACCGGTTCTCGGAAGAACGTTGATGTATCGCCGAGGATGAGAGTGGAAACAACGGGGCGCAAGTTCGTATCGGCAAGAAGGCTGTCGTAAGACTGGGCGACATTGCTCGGCGTCGAGGCCAGCTTCCGCGAGGTTAGCGCTTTCGCGATACAAGAGAGAAGGGATAAAGACACGCGTTCGCCATCGTGGCCTGCGCTTTTAGCTCTTTGAGAATTATAGTTCTTTGCGGATATTATACCGTGCACGAAAAATCAGTATGCATCCGCGCACGTCGCTTCGTTTTTCATTCTCGATCGCGTTTCCGTCTCTTAATCTCTTTCTTAGCGCGTCGCTTATAATATTCAACATGATGATATTTATTTCTAATCGATCGCGAGACAGCTGTAAAAGCGTTACGCGACATGAATTAGCGATTACGCGATGACGATTTCTCCGAAACGCGTATAATGTCCAAGGCCAAGGCTGCGCGAGTCGATTAATCTCGCGGAATGTGTCAACGAAACGAAATTCGTTTGCTCTCTTGTCAGGAAGAAGCCGTAGGACCGGAAGATCTATGCCGACTGAATGTACCGCTACGCGATATAATCGGCTTTAAAGATGAACCCACGATTTTGTCATGCCGCTGAGTTACGTCGCCTGGTAATTCCGTGGGCGATGATATATGTGATTCATCGATTTATCGGGACGGAAGAATCTATCGAGTCATACATTGAAATCAGATTAACTGGAATAGGAAATTTCTATCAATTATGAATGATCAGGAAAACGATTATTGAGAAATGAATAAAGTACTGTTCATTTTTCTTTCAATGGAATATAAGTTGCAAATTTTTAGATACTCCTTTTTGGATATTCTATAAATTACGAAAGATTATAACTGCAAAGGTACTGAAAAAGCAGCATGAATCACTAAACGATATTCAACGTACACGCGTTATTTTATATCATAATTAAAATTAAAATTCTCATTTTGCATGCTTATCTCGGTACGCTATACACCTGTATAATGATAATAGTGATTACTCCATACAATTTGCCGCCGCAAATTACGTCATCATGCATATGGTTTTTGAGTTTGCGAGATTGCGTCTGTCGTAATGGACGCGACAGGGACGACTTCCTTTGTTCGAATACTGTTTTGGGAAAGAAAGAAGGCAAAATCAATGCCGTCGCTAAAAAGCCACACGGTTTTGTCCTTGGAGATCCGAATCTGCGCGCGTACACTCAATGTGTACGCCAGAGATGAAGAGAGCCTCGTAAAGAAAGAAACACGATTTATTAATTGTTATTTTTATCCTCCCTGATATAGCGGTCTCGCTCTTTTCGCCTCATCATTATCCCGGGACATCGTCGTGAGACACTCGGCGTCATTAAATGTGTCCGCGATGCGAAGCAACGTTTTAGCAATAAGTCCGCGCATTACAGCGTGGATGATCGATTTTCAGGTACCAAATGAAGCGCGAAGCGTCCTTCATACCCGCGATTCTCCGGAGGAACATGTGTTAGAAACGCGTGAATATTTTATGGAGGTTGCGAAAGAGAGGCTCATAATATTGTACATTTTACAAAACGCATTTTGGCCGCGATTTCTTGTCGCTCTTATTTTCGAAAAATAATCCCCCTTTTCGTGGCTCGAGTCTGATAAAGTACACAGTAATTTAATACGTCGAACGTTTATCTCGATCTGCAGGATCAAGGGGGGACACACCTCTAGCTTCTACTTACATTTCGTCACGTAACTTGTCACAGATCGTCATTTCGATAGCGAAAAGCTATTCTTATTAAGAGCAATTTCACGATTCGCGGCTATACTTACTTGTGTCTAGTGAAGTTCCCGTTTCCGCGATTTTCCGCATATGCACGGTCTTTCTCGACGTTCAACGACCGCCAAGTTATCCGAGAAATTCGGAGAAACAACGGTTTTGATGTAATAACGACCGTGCAAATATTAGATAATCCGTGCCGAAAGACCGTGTCGCCAAACTCCGATAAAGGGACGGCGAATTCTCCCGCAGCGGTTGCGAAATTCAACGTTCGATTCGGTAATATCACACGTCTGATTCACGCGCGTTACATCATCTCTTTCTACCGTTTTTTCACCGAAAACACGTCGTGGACGTGGCGGTGATAGTCGCGGACTGTTAAAAGGTCCTAAAATGACGAGGCGGCTCGCGTTACATCGTGCCGACGCACACGGGCATAACGTCTATTTATCACTTTGAGCTTCTGACACTCTTGCGCGGAAGAGAAGTCGTATCACACGAAAGGTTCATTTAACGTCTCGAGCGGATTAATTCCCACATTTCGTGAGAAGTGAATGTACCGAAAATTCCTCGCTTAAACGTGCGCTTTATGCCTCTTATCGAATGCATGAGAAATCGGTTGGAATTTCGAGAATGTCTTTTTTTCTATAAACCCTCCGTTAATCGCAATATCCAATATATACACGTTATAACTGATGTATAACATTAAAACGATGATGTACAAACATAAAAGACAGATTAAAATAAAAATTGTTTAAAAATAAAAATGATTTAAATTAATGATTTAAATTGATGATTTAAATAATGCCGCGCATTTTCGTCGTTAAGAGAACGACGTTTCGCGCGGGCAGGAACAAAATCTTAGATCGCGGAAATAAAATTTTCATCGCGCAATCGCGATTAAAATCCACTTGCGACGGAATCGGCTCTCGCGGACGAGTCTTGGATTAACTAGTCTACTTGCAGAATCGAGTCGCGAACCGTAAAATCTCGGCACGGCCGGCGGTTTCGCGAGATCGTCTGACACTCACGGCGCGAGCACTCGGCAGCAGACATTTTTGCCACACACCGGCTAGACAGCGCGAATATTTTCCCGTTCAGAAATAAGATCCCAGAATGCGGAAACATCGGCATTAAACGCAGCGGTTCGATGCGTACGTGCTTCGAGAGGCCGATGACGCTTACCTCACTTCTATACCTCGTGCCTTCGTGGGAGCGGACAGCTGTAAAACGAGTAGCGAATCGCGCGAGAATCTTATATCCAATTAAGCTTTTTTACGGAGGAAAAACGGAAAAGGACCGGTAGCAAACGCGTTCGTTGCATCCGTGTATTCGCGGAACTATTTCGCGTCGAAAGATAAACGTGTCGGGGATGCGCGTGCGGAAACGACGAAGGAGAAGAGACATTATTTATTATCTTCATGAATCTGTCATACGTGCTAATAAACGTCCTTAAATTCATGTCGGAATAATTCAGATAATTAAACGTCTTATAAGTTAGCGGAACAGAATGAGCAGAATCAATTCTAATTAATACTTTTATTTGTTGCTCATTTGTTGCTAAAAAGTTGCCAAAGAAAAAAATTTGTTGCTCTGTAAGTTTTAAAAAAAAAATGATGTTCCGCTCATATATAGTGTTCCGCTAACTTAATCTTCCTTTAGCGGAACATCATTTTTTTTAAAAACTTACAGAGCAACAAATTTTTTTTTTTGGCAACTTTTTAGCAACAAATGAGCAACAAATAAAAATATTAATTAGAATTGATTCTGCTCATTTTGTTCCGCTAACTTATAAGACGTGATAATTAAGATTCCTGCCTCAATTTCCTGTCGCGTCTCGATCCTTTCACCCTCACGCATCGTCACGTCCTATTTCTATTAATCAATCGGTATTTTAACGACGTCGTCGATTATTCGACTCGGATGTATATCATAAATTTGAAACATTTCCTTTTCCATCCCGATTAAAAATCCGAAGGACGACGGCACGATCGGCGCAACTCGTTGCCGTTTTACGAGGCAGCGCGAGGTATTCGTTACGGGTGTCCCGAGCGAGTTCGTGACACGTCAGGAGGATCTCAATGTGAAGTTCGAGCGAGGGCGAATTCCTGCGGACTTTCACCGTACACCGAAGGACGGTGGCGATCGGTGTAAATCGCGAAAGGTATTCGACGCGCCGCTTTAAACGCTATTGTTAGCGAGATCGGCGTCGATCTGACCAAGCTACGTCGCGCTGACATTTTCGATTCACTTCGCGAACGAGGACCTTTAACACGCGACCCCGGAATTATCGTTTATTCCACAATGAACACCGTCTACGGTCCACCGCGCATAAACTCAAATACTATTGTCGAAATCGTCGAGTCATACCTTAATATCTCCGCGCGAGATAAGATCGTTTGGGAAAGTAATATGCCGATCTTAGACGAGTTTTTTATCGATCCTGTTTTATTGTTCGCCGATCGCGCGGAAAAATCATGTGTTCTTGCGATATCTATAATGTCTGCTTGCAAAATGTGCGTTTCGCCATCTCTATGGATATTTATAGAGATATTTTATATCAATCTCTCTTTAATAATATCTCTTTCCCTTACTTTTGATCGATTTCTTGCTGGACTCCT